TTGATCAATTTAGCCTTCTCAAATCATCACGACTTGACTAAAATAAAATCTATAGATATAAAACAGTTCAAATAACAATGTTTAAACGTTAAACCTAGATAAATGTGCGCTGTTAGACGCATATCCAATAGTTTGTGCGGAGAGTGGAAGCTAAAGCGCGCTTTGAAGGACATGAAGTCGCCAGCGAGATCACTTGCATTTTTTTCAGTGGAAACAACTTTAAATAGCCTATGCTTCATTTTTGTTCATAAAGAGTAATACATGATTCGGAACTGCAAAGTGTCTATTTTTTTTTGTGTGCACTCACAATATCAACAAAACGTTGTGCTGTTACACTGCCGTCTCGGTCTTGAACAGGAGCGCTTCACAAAAATGAACCGAAACTCAGCGAATACACGCCTCACAGACATGATAAATATATCTATAGAAAGCTTTAAATTACTACTTAATGAAACATTTGCCGGTGCTGCAAGCTTAAGCCTATTGCGTGCATTTGAACGCAGAACTCTTCAGCTGCGCTGACGGCAAGCACGCTGCTGCTGCGGGACACTAAACATCGTCGAGCCGCTCTTGACAGTCGCGGCAGCACGGTCTCGTGTTGTTTCCACCAGCACGGCAAATTATTATTTTTTTCATCACTAATTGATGGATGTCTAAAATATAAAAATAGGAGAAGCGAAGCCTAAAACATGAATGAAAAGTGAACCTTGTTCCTTTTGAACCTTGAACCTTGAAGTGAATTTTACTGATGAGAAATAATAAAGGCTTTAAAATTTTATAAGATTTTTAAAATGTATTCATGGCTATGAAGGTAAGATATTGATTATCGATAATACCATTACAATGTCATTTAAGAGATTAGACTAACTGCCTAAACAGTTACGATAGTGTTTATTTGTCAGCATTTAAATGTACAGTTACATGTCTGGGTAGCCTACTTTTCTGGGATTACCAGACTCTGCATTTGAATTTATATGTTCGTTAATAACATAAAACAGTATGTTAATTCCGCTATCATTATTTATGGTGTTGCAATTATTTTGTTTATCAGTTTCTGATAAGAATGAGGCAGGAGAGGTTTCTGTGAGAGTATAGCACATATATAAAATGAGCTTCACCGGAAGATTATGAGCTGGCTTATCTTTATCCGGAAGTTCTAAATAGCGCTCCGTGCATATGGTCAATTGTGTCACACAGGACGATACAATACAAAACCCTCGACCTGAAACAGTTCAGATGACGGCATTTGTTTCAAACGGGGTTAAAACTCGAAACGCTCCCCGCCTCCATAACAGAGGTCAACACGACACCCCGAGAGGCTGGTCTGCGGGCCGTGAGAGAACAAGAGCACTGTGAGAGATGAAAGCCTCGTCTTAATTCAGCTGCTCTCACTCACAACAGCTGGGCCGTGTCCTGTGGAGCTCAGGCCCAAGAGCACAGCCAACAATCAAGCTAGTGTTACAGATGCATGAGGGAAGCACGTCTGAGGTGGAAGACATCCACACCCAGTCAGGATGAACTCCAAACCCCCGTCCCATGAGCCCAGTGTCATATCAAGCTAATTTAATAAAGAGTTCTGCTTTATTGATGGCCTTTGTGCTTTATAAGAAGGTGTAGAGCGACATGAACATGGTGGAGAAAACGGAAAAGTGTAATCTGATGATGCAGGTTCAGTAACAGATTACATGCTATCTGGATTATGTAATCAGATTCCAATTAAGTACTTGTAATTAGATTATATTACATTTTAAAATACTTGTAATTAACATTGTTACTTATTTACATGTACTTTGCATTATGCACACATTTGCAGGTTCACAGTTATTTGACGTTGGTTAATGGTCACATGACATGCAGGTAAACAAAATATTTTATTAGTAAGTGTTTTATTTCGATTGTTGTTATTTTAAAATGATTTATTTTAATTACACATTTTTATGATTTAATATTAGCTTTTCAGTTCCTTCGCAAACCCCAGTTTGGGAAACTTTGATGTAATGTAATGTTTAATGCACTTAATGTTGTTAACAAAAAAAAAAAAGATTTTTATATCAATATGGTACAAGATTATCCTATTTAAATCAATGTGATTAGCAAGTTAGGTCAAAAGTAGTCTGATTATATTATCTACAATGTGTAATGTAATGGATTACGTTACTAACTACAATTTTTGTCATGTAATCTGCGATCAGTAATGGACTACAATTTGCTAGGGCGTTGCTAAGGTGATTTGAACGGTTGCTAGGTCATTACTATGTTCTGTGTGGTTGCTAAGTCATTGCTATGTGGTTCCAAAGATGTTTGGGGTTGTTGCTAGGATGTTGCTATGGTGTTCTAAGTGGTTGCTAGGGCGTTGATAAGCTGTTCTGAGTGTTTGCTAGGGCATTGCTAAGGTGTTATAAAAGGTTGCTAGGTTATTTCTATGTGGCTGCAAAGGTGTTCTGAGTTGTTGCTAAGGTGTTCTGAGTGTTTGCTAGGGTGTTGTTGCTAGGTTATTTCTATGTGGCTGCAAAGGTGTTCTGAGTTGGTGCTAGGGCATTGCTAAGGTGTTCTGAGTGTTTGCTAGGGCATTGCTAACGTGTTATAAAAGGTTGCTAGGTTATTTTTATGTGGCTGCAAAGGTGTTCTGAGTTGTTGCTAGGGTGTTGCTTAAAGACTTAAAGTTACTTAAATACAGTCGAAAAAGATCCAGAAAAAGATGCACATCAGCTATAATGAATAAAGCACATGGCTGGATGCTCTTACCGGTGTGCTCGTCTTGCCTGTCAGGATGGTACGTGCTTTGGATTTGTTCATGTTGAAGTTCTTCAGGTAGGCCTCGTAGATCTGCTTGGCCAGGGTTTTCTGATCGGCCAGCTGTGGGTCCTCGATCTCTCTTTCTCCCGTTAGGATTTCCGCCTTCAACCTCAGCTTCTCCGACTGTGGCATTCGCCCAAAGCGGATGGCTGTTTGCGGGATAGAAACAAGAACCTCAACTTAGAGAAAACTCTCAAACGAGCGTCCCATGTAAGACTGCCCACCCAATAGTCGACTAAACATTAGTTGACGAGAAGAGGTTTAAGGCCTGTCTATTCTTCACTTTTCGCGTTCCATTCCACCTCGCGCACAGCCGCGTCTGCACAACTTTCAAAATATACTCAACCGCGGATGAGCATGGATGGACGAGTTCGACACACGTGTAGTACCAGCTAGAAGACTCATTCTGTCTCAACATTCACCTCGCGCCTGCGCTGTTGTACGAAGACCGTCCACGCGGTCACAAAAACTGGGCTGCACTTCTGATGATGAAAACTGAATCAAGAGGACAGTGCGCGGACTGTTGCGGAACGTGGACGGCTGAAGTATACTTTGGGCTTTAGTTGACTTAAATTTTATTAGTCGGTTAGTCGCAGAAATAATAGGTCCTTGTTCGTGACGGACACATCGTAACGGCTGGTCCTTGAGGTAATTAATGACAGGTGAACATTTGGATATTCTGCCCAATATACTTATATTGGGCAGAATATCCAAATGTTCACCTGTCATTCATCAACTTCAAATATGGCTTATCATTTGAAAGTGTAGCAAGTAGTATCAACTTTAGATAAATGTACACTATTAGGTGCATATCCAAGTGTTTGTGTGAAGTGTTGAAGTTGTTTGCGCTCTTACTGCATGACATGGAGGCGCCGATGCGATTACTGCACAATTTTTTCCTGATAACAACGGAGACAACTTAAAATATGCTGTCATTTTTGCTCAAGCAGATAAGAGTTATACATCATTTGAAACCGTAAAGGGTCTACTTTTATTTGTTTGCACTAACCATATCAACAAAACGTGCTTTTGTAAAATAAAGAAAACGAACAGAATGCACTTTCTGCCATCTCTGTCTCTGAGCACTGGACAGCGTCACAAAAACGAACAGAAACTCATTGGCTACTCGCCTCAAAGACGTTAGAAATATATCTATAGAAAGCTTGAAATGTCTACTTTAAAATACTCTCTGATTATGTAATCCGTATTAAAGGTGCATTTCTCTTTAAAGGCGAGTCTACTGTGCTACGGAGATTAGCATCATTAACTTCCTTCAAAACACTGTTTTATTAATGAATAAATAAAATATGTCCTTGCTATTTTTTCCAACACATTCATAGTCATTACTAGGGTTGTCAAACGTACTGACTTCAGTACCAGTCGGTACTGAAATTAAAAAAATGTGACGATGCCAGCATTTCCCACTAGCATTTTTAAGTGCCGTTGAGCGGATTCTTATGTCTGTTAAGAATAGCCTATAGTCTACATCAAAGGCCCCCCAAGTTTATATTTAAGTAATTAAATTAATATAAACATGCAATTACTCGACTAATGGCTTTAATGAATGACTAGAAAAAATCTTTAATCGGGGGCAGCCCTACGTATAATGCTGCCTCTGTAGGAAGCTCTCTATATTTTGGAACAAAACCGGTATATGACTTGCCTCTTGTGAAGTTTCTCCAGTGATATGCGGATAAAATTTGACGTGATCATTTGTGGTTAGTTCTTGACAGCCTTCCAAGAGTTCAAATCACATAAAAGTTCATCTTCGCCTTAAAAGTTAATATCCCTATTGTTGGTGTGGATAACATAAAAGCGGACTGTAAGTTGTTTCTGTAAACCTTCACTCTGCTGATTCTCTTGCAAAACAACCACATGTGCTGCTGATCACGGATGATTAATATTTGATGAAATCCAAGGCCACTATTTACACATTTTGTCAGATCAGGATGTCTGGTGCCTTAGAAACTTGCCCAGAGGAATTGAGTAACACGAGTTTAAATCTGGACTGTGTTCAGATGAATTTCATGGTGTCATTGGACAGGCAGAGCAGCGGTGGGCATTATGGTGTTGAACATTGTTTCAGCATTTCAGAAGCTCGATTTATTTAAAACAAAACCAGCAAAAGTTTTGAAGTGGAGACATTTAACTATTCAGAGAATGGAATTGAAAAAAAAAAAACTATTTATTTCGCCAACATGTTTCGGCACACAAGCCTTCATCAGGGCTTCCAAATACAAAGAAACTCATTTAAAAACAAACTTTTTTAAATTCCATTCTCTGAGTAGTTTGATTTCTCCACTTCACAAGTGTTGCTGGTTTTGTTTTTAAAAATACATTTGATTTCTCCTTCCATGCACCTTGATTGTGTGAAGCTGCACCAGAATAAAAATACAACATATCAGAAACTAGATTTAGCCTGTGGTGCCCATGCAAAACTTAACTTATGATGCTAAAGTGTTGCTCTAAATGGTTTTAGCATTTTATGCGGTTGCTAGTGTGTTTTGGATAGTTGTTAGGTTGTTTCGTACAGTCTCTGCTGTCAGTAATATATGGTGCATGCAAATGCGGATATCTTTAAAACATGAATGCAATCCTAATGCAGACGCCACAATCCCCAACAGCTAATAAGCTTACAGTCCCTGCCTGTAAACCTCCATTGCATGACACACAAACGCATGTTAATCTCTAGGTATTATATGTATTGTTACATCCAGCAACAGGATTGCTGTTATTTTGTTGAACATTAACACAAAAACCCATATAGAACAAAGCAAAATAGAAAAAAGCCAATTTTTGGGGCGTGCAAGGTGCAAAATAGGTCAAAAGGTAGAAAGACGTCTCTTCTGTTCTTATTTATTTGATTAAAAATACAGTACGGGAGACAGTAGGGAAAACAAGCATGATCATGATTCACCTCAGCAGAAATACTGATTTTGAGGCATGAAAGTTACTTTTTGGATGTACGGTATTTTCCTTCTGCTGTCTAAAGTTTAGATGACTGTGAATTTAAGCATACATACATTTTATCCCTAGGTTATTGATAAAAAATTAACATGAACAACCTATGCTAATATAGGCATGGCTGTTTAATCATGGCTGCAACATCAGGGGCAATTTTAACATTGTGTTAACCTTGTTTGTCTGTGCTGACACTTTTCTGTTAGAAAATTAACATATTTAAATGTAAAACTACATTTAAAAATTATTAGTGTTGCACATTAAACAATGTGTTGCAATGAATATTATCTCCACTTGATCTCATTGAGTTATTCTTTTAATAATATCTTGTATCATTTAATCAAAGTTTGGTTAAAGACTGTTCTTGACTCATCAGCTGATTAATGTATTTGAGTAAAATATATATTAAAAAAATTAAAATCTAGTTACCACTAGAATAGTTGCTAGTCCTCTGCAAAAATAGAAATAGACTTTTGCTTTTTGAATGCATATGATGCTTGACATCCAAAATAATTTGAACCATATACAAAAAAATATCTTAAGCAACATTATTAGACACTACAGCAGTTAAATTATTGCTTTGAGGTAGGCTTCTATTTGAGATACAGTGGGTTAATATGACTTATATGACTTATTAATTTAATATAATAGTGTTGTCCTTATTAGTGAAAATATATCAATTGTATTATTAATTAGTGCACCTATATTTGTTTCTTGTATCAAAAGATAATAACGTTGGAATTGAAAATAATACTTTTTTTCAGGATTCTTTGATAAATACAAAGTTCAAAAGAACAACATTTAGTTGAAATATACATTTTTGTAACATTAGAAATGACTTTGCAGTCACTTTTTTGATCAAATCAATGCATCCTTGCTGAATAAAAGCATGAATTTCTTTAAAAAAAAAAAAAAATGAAAGAAGAGGTTTATCCAACAGGATGAAGGGAGTGGCGAAGATCGCCGGTTTTAACTAAGTCTAAAGAAAAGAATGGAACTAATCTGTTTATTTAGAACTCTATTTAGTCTCTTTTCCAACACAAATTACAGAGACTATGTCCATCAAAAGGACCAAAGACACCGTAAAATGCTAATTTTAGCAGCTAACCCACATCGCTGTGAGGAATGGGGTCGGGGTGTATGTTTTCAAGAGTCCACGGTTCGGATTACGGACTTCGACCATAGCACGACTTCAGCACATGCCTTCGCTGATCACAAAGCCTGCGAAAGATGAGAGGTTCAGCAGGCCTGGACGTGTTAGCAGGCCTCATAAAAGATGACCTTTGACTCCAGACTGAAAACAATGGAGAGGTCATCGCAGGAAGTCAATGCACTGATATCTCAAGGAAAAAACAACCAAACGCTCTCATGTTAGATCATTTAGTCAAAGATTATCCAGAACGTTACCGCAACATCAAGTCCGTTAAAGGAAGATTGTTTAAAGTAACGGTTCACCCCAAAATTAATTTCTCATCATTTACTCAACTTGTGTTGTTCTAAACCTTCAGTGGAACACAAAATATATCTGTATAGAGGTGTAAATATATTTTCAGTCTCTGAATTGAGCTTTTCCATTTAATAAGCAAATGGTGACCACGTGTTGTCAAACTACAAACCTGGCGAAACACCATAAAAGTAGTTCACACTACTAATGCGCTATATTTCAAGACATCTAACGCCAGTTTTTGTTTTTTTGTGAGGAGCAGACTGAAATTTAAACCATGCATTATTTTGCAATTCCTCAAAAAGTTGTTCAGATGGCCAGTATTTATTTTGGACCTTGCCACAACACTTGAAGAATTTAGCCCTATAGTTGAATGGTAATTTCTCATGGGGACGTCTGTAAAAGTTCATATTACATTTAATAATAGGAAATACTATCCTATTTATTATTTATTTAAATATCGTATTTATAGTTTAAATGGTTTTCCATTTTGCATTTTATCTCTCAAAATGTCATTTTAAAAAATGTGGAAATTACATGAATAAGTTAGCGCAAACTATTATTTACATAAGCTAAACTTATGACTCAACTACTTGGTCAACTAGTCAGGGTTATTGTCATTAACTAAAACTACAACCATAAAAAAACATTATCACTAATTGAAACAAAATAAGTGTTAACTGAAATAAAATAAAATGTACAAAAAATTAAACTTATTTTATTTCAGCTATTTGTCAAAGCAGTTTATATTTCTTATTTTCAATTAGTTTCACTTTAAGTACTTAAATAACTAAAGATGAAATACATTTAATAAAAATATAGACAAAACAACTAACAGACATGACAAAAGCACACAAAATTACTAAAATTAAAGTGAAAACAGAAAATATAAAAATAAAATTAATTACAAATACTAATAAAATGATAATAGTATCTCAATGATACTAAAATAACACTGTAACTGCAATGACACTGATTAGTTGTGCAAACCCTAATATAAAATTCTATATAATAAATATTATTAATACAATAAAAAAAATAAAAAATAAAATTGCATAAAAATTACAAAATAATAATGTCCCACTTCACGTGATTTTGTTATTTTTTCCACTTGCTGCAGTGAAGCTGTGACGAAATATTATTTATTATTGTTTCCAGCATTTCAGTAATAAAAGTGTCCATATTTAAAATATGTGCACATTATCATGAAGCTCAACTGTTATTGTACAGTTGGCAGTGATTTATGAAACGACTTTTGGATTGATCCATTCCCATAAACTGAGAGAGGTGTGCGATTAAATTACCACACGACCTTAATGTTTGTCAAAAACAATTTGAACAGGAATTTTTATGCAGATGGTGGGAGAAAAACACCAAAATTATTGATTCGGACGGCAGTAAAATCCCTGACTAGCCTCTGCAAACGTTGAAATTAGATGACAAACAATCAGATTACCATCAGAATTGGGCTTTTGTTTGCCACACTCACCATTGTGGGACATGCCCACTGACAAGCACTTCTGAAAGCGACAGTATTGGCACTTGTTTCGGTTCTTCTTTTGGATCTTACAGCGGCGTTCACATTTATCGTACTCCAGTTTGAGGCGAATGGTCCGGCGGAAGAAACCCTACAAGAGGCAGAAACAGAAATCCAGTTGAGCTCATTCTGAAAAACAAGAACGACACACATTCCTACAAGCATTTCCAAGCTAACACAGATCAATGTAAGGTCATCGCTTGCTCTAAATATACACTTTAAAGACAACTCGTTCCATTTTAAGTTCATATCTTGCTAATAAACGGGCCAGAAATTCATGTACACAATCCAAACCAGGCGTTTCTGGAAATAGCTTGGCAGCACATTGGCAGGTTGTGTTTGTCCTCATTTGTCCTTGGATCTGTCTGGGTTTCCTCTCTTAGAAACACAGCTTCTGCCTTCCAGGCATGGTGACAGAGATTCAAAATAGGAACGAGCTTGACAATCTGACCTATGTTTAATATTAGGAGTGAACGGCATGATCAAAATCTTATGATATGCATGGAAGTACAGTTATTCTTGCTGGAAAAGCATAAAAAATGTTCTTCCTCTTGACTTGTTCTGGACATGCTTCGCTCTCTATTTTTGTGTTGCTCTTACATGTAAATATAGTAAATATAGCTGCACAAAATACACTACCATTCAAAAGTTTGGGGTAATATTTTTATTTAAATTTAAATTAAATCAATATTTTTAATTCAGCAAGAATGCATTAAAAATTGACAGTAAAGACATTTATAATGTTATAATACATTTTAATAATAATACTAATAAATTTTATTTATAATGTGCTTTTCTCACACCCAATGTACTACAGCATAGTAAAAAGACAAGTAAAATACAAATAATACAGTATATAATACAATATAAGACAACAATCAGCAGCTGACACTTAATCACGGTAAGCAATTTTAAAAAGGTGGGTTTTCAACAGTATCTTAAAAGTCCTAAAAGTGCTTAGGTGCACTTCGAACATTCAAAGGAAGCGCATTCCATAACCTCGGGGTGGCACAAGAGAAAGCGCTCTGTCCCATAGTTTTTAATCTACAGTGGGCTGATGAAGGAAAAGAGAATCAGCAGAGCGGAGGGGATGAGAAGGCATTCTCACTAAATCACAAACATAAGAAGGGGCCATTCCATGTACAGCTTTATAAGTCAAAATATGTGTTTTAAACACGATACGTGATTGGATTGGAAGCCAGTGCAAATTACAAAGGACACCACTGATGTGCTGACATGAGGATGTGAGAGTAAGAACACGTGCTGCTGAATTTTGAATGTATTGCAAACGTTTAATAGAATTTGCCGGTAGACCGATGTAAAGTGAATTGCAGTAATCAGTTCTTGAAGTGATAACTGTGTGGATGAGCCTTTCCGCATCAGGTGTAGAAAGGAAAGAAAGGCCTAATCCTAGCAATATTTCTGAGATGATGAAATGCCGATGTGAGCCTCCAGTGTCAAGTGAACATCAAAGATCACACCAAGGTGACGAGCTTGTAAAGACGGCAGTACACTCTTAAAAATGCTGGGTTGTTTCAACCCAACTTTGGGTCAAATATAGACTAACCCAACCGTTGGGTTAATTTTTTTTAATTAAAATTTTAACCTAAAAGTTGGGTTAGTCCATATTTGACCCAAAGTTGGGTTGAAACAACCCAGTATTTTTTAGAGTGTACAGAGCTGTTGTCCATAGTCAAATTAAAGTTCCTACATTTGTGGATGGCTGCTGGTGTGCCAATAAGAAGAGCCTCAGTCTTAGAGCAATTCAGTTTTAAAAAGCCGTGATGCATCTACAATTTTATGTCCTGCAAACATTCAGAAAGGATTGTGGAACTGACTGTAACATCAGACTTTGAGCTGATGCAAATCGTCAGTATAGAAATGATACCCAAGACCGTTTTTCCTAATGATTTGCTCCAAAGGAAGCATATTAAAAAAGTATAGGACCCAAAACAGACCCCTGAGGAACACCATATTGGACCTGGCTAATGTCAGATTTGTTGTTTCCCAGAACAACAAACTGGAATCTATTTGAAAGGTAGGATCTGAACCATTTAAGCACAGTACCAAAAATACTGAGCCAACTCTTAAGTCTATCAAGCAATATAGAGTGACACACTGTGTCAAATGCTGCACTCAGATCTAACAAAACCAAAATGGTTGAGGCACCAGAGTCAGCTGAGACGAGGAGGTCATTCATGACTCGAACCAAGGCGGTCTCAAAACTACGTCCTGATCTAAACCCAGATTGGAAAGGTTCTAAAAGCTTGTTGAGTGACAAATGAGAATGTAGTTGTGCCACAATAACACGTTCCAGGACTTTAGCTAAAAAAGAAATACGTTTGTTAGATCAAACGTATCACACCCAGGCTTTTTAAGGATTGGTGTGATAGCTGCAATCTTAAGTTCACATGGAACAATCCCAGTAATAAGAGAGGCGCTCACAATATTCATTATGAGGGGACTGGTTGTCAACAGACACCTCTTAAGAACAGTGGTTGGGACAGGGTCAAGAATACAAGTGGTTGAGTTCATTGTCAACAATAGTTTTGAGATGCAATCAATGGTAACTGTTGCAAAACTAGAAAACAAAGTCACAGGAATACTGGGCGGAAGAACCTCAGGGAGCACAAACAGAGGGGAAGAACCAATAGACTTCAATTTTATCCACAAAAAAATTAAGAAACTTGTTACACTGCTGAACAGAAGAACATGTGGGTGACTTATTTGGTTTTAGAACTTTGTTAAGTCTTAAAAATCTTTTTTGGATTTGCAGCACCATCACTTATAATGTGTGAACCGTATTGAGCTCTTGCCACCTTAAGGGCTTCACTGTACTGAATTAAGTGTTCATCATACTTGAGCTTATGGACAGTTTAGCCTGATTTTTTTGTATTGCCGATCAAGTTGCCTATTTTTAACCTTGAGTGTCCTAAGCTAATAGAAAATAAAATCTCTCTCTCTCTCTCTCTCTCTATAGATATATATATATATATATATATATATATATGTATACAACAGTTCTTTCTGGTCCTCGAATCTGATTGGCTGAGAGCCTTTTCCAGCGGTGCGATATTCTAGTGATAACAGCACTCCAACCGTTTCACCGTTTGTAGCACTCTGCTTGCAGTATTTCTCACAGCAAGTGTCATGGCGGACGCTCAAATCCACTGTAATTTTATAAATAATACTGTTTTTGTGTCATGGAATTAAATTTTAAAAGATTTTTAGGCAAGATCGTCTGGAATTTGCCGCTGGCTCTGATGTCTCCATAGTGGTTAAACATGAGATATAATTTGTTTTGGGTAAATCTAACGGGCAGTCCTTGGTCTCATTAATATATTATTTGATTATCTATTATCAAATATGATTAAAGCCATAGGTGATTACCTACAGCAGAATCACAGCCGTGCTGATATACAGCCTTATCGCATTGCTACTTGTGTGATATTGCTCATATATGTGACCCTGGAGCACAAAAGCAGTCTTAAGTCGCTGGGGTATATTTGTAGCAATAGCCAAAAATACATTGTATGGGTCAAAATTATCGATTTTTCTTTTATGCCAAAAATCATTAGGGTATTAAGTAAAGATCATGTTCCATGAAGATATTTAGTAAATTTCCTACCGTAAATATATCAAAACTTAATTTTTGATTAGTAATATGCATTGCTAAGAACTTCATTTGAACAACTTTAAAGATGATTTTCTCAATATTTAGATTTTTTTGCACCCTCAGATTCCAGATTTTCGGCCAAATATTGTCCGATCCTAACAAACCATACATCAATGGAAAGCTTATTTATTCAGCTTTCAGATGATGCATAAATCTCAATTTCGAGAAATTGACCCTTATGACTGGTTTTATGGTCCAGGGTCACATATACAGTATATCTTACCAACAAAACATTTATATTCAAACTTATTTGATAATGAACCACTGCTGAAACCCAAGCCATTTGAAGCCATAAGCTCCAGCTTGATATCAGAGCGTTATTCCCTGGAAAGAATAAACAGGCCAGTCCCTAAGGTCATAAATGCATCCAAAGCATGAAATCAAGCGGCTTGCACAATTTGGCGAAGCGCTGAAGATGACCAGCGGTTTGCCAGCAGAGCAGAAACTCAAAGTGGTGGCTGGCAAGAAGGGACGGGGTTGTAAAAACGAATCGCTGTTGCTTCACTCATATTGAGTCATGCTGTCCCTAGAAACACTTCAGTTTCGAAAGGGAGATTAGATGGGGAGATACAGAGGGAGATGGAGAGGCACCAGGGACCGGAGGAAGAGGAGGAGAGGTCGAGTCGAGGACAGACACACGGGGAGTGACCGTCCAAATCACGGGCATCAAACATGATTGAACAGATAGAGACACAGAGAATTGAGTTATTATGAAATGGATAGTTACGGCTCGAAAGTCTGATTCAAAAGCTATGTTTGTTGTAAAGCACATCAATTAAATTCTATATTGATATTAGGAATCTTTGGGAATCTGATTCTGGGAGTCATGATCTGATTCCAAAATGATTATTGATTTAAATTAATGAATTAGTTTAACTACTTGAAGTATGTAATATATACCATTTTTATTTAATTATAAGTACTTTTTAAAATAATTACAAATTAATAATATTTACTGTAATTGTTTTAATTTAGTCATTTTCTAAATATAGCTTCAAAACATAAGCTAAATTTAATTTAATATTTCATTTTTATGATTTTAATTACTTTTTTAATTATAAGTACTTTATAATAATTACTGTAATTGTAATCTAAATATAAGTTCAAAACATAGTCTAATTTTTGAAATATTTAATTATTTAATTTATACTATTTTTATTTTATTATTTCATTACTTAAGTACTTTTTTAATAATTACAAAACATAACAATTAATTACAAATTAACAATAATTGTTTTCATTCAAGTAATTATTTAAATATAGCATCAAAAGAGACGACAAGCAAATAATCAATAATAAAGAAGAATAAATATATTACAAGCAATAAACAAAGAGTGCCTTATGTCTAAGAGTTCAAGTATCTATAAGTTTCCAGTACGTATTTAATTAAAATAAATGTTTAAAATAATTACAAATTAATATTAATTACTGTAAATATATATATAGCTTCAAAAAATAGGCTAAATATTTAATTTATACCATTTTATTTCATTACTTATTTAATTACAAGTACCTTTTAAACAAAACAATTACAATACTTATTATTAATTTGTAATTAAGTCATTTTCTAAACATAGCTTCTTAATATTTTCTAAATATATTTAATTGAATATTTAATATATACCTGTACTATTTAATTACTTAATTTATAAGCAATTTTAACTTTAGCAAATTAATAATAATTGTTTTCATTTCACTAATTGTATAAATATAGCTTCAAAACAGAAGCTACAAGGAAATAGTCAATAATAAAGAAGAATAAATAAACAAATTACAAGTAATAAATGCCATATACTTAAGTACTAGAAACTTTCAGATATATAAGTACTTTTTAAAGTAATTACGAATTAAAAATAATTGCCGTAATTGTTTTATAATTTAATATAATTTTCTAAACAAAGCTTCAAAACATGGAAATATTTAAATATTTAATTAAATATTTAAATTATATACAAGTACTTTTTTAAAAATAATTACAGATTATAAATATCTTCAAAACATATAGTACAAGCAAATAGTCACTAATAAAGAAGAACAGAGAAATATATAATAAGAATCATAATGAATCAGAGAATCATTTTTTTCTCCCAATTCTATTTAATATGCAAATGTAAATAAATATTATTATGTATACTTTTATTGTACCCCCTTGACTGGCATAGCGTTCTTACTCCAGCTGGTGTGGTCATATAAACAGCATTAGAAATGAGTATAAATAAGTATAAGCCTGTATGAATGATAAACACTGCAGCATCATTATATAACACAGGCTTTATTTAACTCTAGAGCGTGTTGACCTCTGCAGCCGTGCCTGAGACTCGGCTCAAGCAGTCACATACTTTAAAGCCGAAGATGCACCTGTCGCCTGTGTTTGAACATCAGGGTCAAGGCCTACCAATGAATGAATAGCATCCTATGATTCTTTGTGAGCAATTGAGAGGCAAATTAATTTGCAAGTGAAGTGACAAAACATACACACAACCGTAAAGATAACAATTTTACAGAAATATTATGAGAGATGTAATGCAATCATCGTTTGATCAATATTCATGAACGATATTTACGCTTTGGGTATCAGCTTCTTAATATCAGGTATACCTGAAAATATTCTGATAATATATAGGGATGCTCCGATCCGCCTTTTTCGCCTCCGATACCGATTCCAATACCTAGGGTTCGGTATTGGCCGATACCGATACCGATCCGATACCAGTGAAGTTTTTTTCCCTCATTTAAATAAATGTAGAATTTATATATCTCTGTGTGTGGAACTGATAATCATTCTTTCACAATCTACTAGATACAGAATACTTCATTATAAAGAAAAATAAAATAAACAAATATGAAAAAATATAGGCCTATGTATATTTCTTTTCTTTTATTATATTGTCTTTCGGATGTAACGTTAAACCGAGGTCCTGACTCTCTGTGGTCATTAAAAAAAATCCCATGGCACTTCTCGTAAAGAGTAGAGGTGTGACCCCGGTGTCCTGGCCAAACTGCCCCCCTGGCCCTTGTCAATCATGGCCTCCTAATAATCCCCATCCACTTGATTGGCTCTATGACTCTCTCTCCTCTCCACCTGTAGCTGGTGTGTGGTGAGCGCACTGGCGCTGCTGTCCTGTGGCTGCCGTCGCATCATCCAAGTGGATGCTGCACACTGGTGGTGGTTGAGAGAGCTTTATCGAGCTGACTGCTGTAACCGAATGCGACCAGGGTTTAAAGGCTGAACGAATGACTGACAGCCACAGTGGAGAAAAGAGTTTGTGTGGACGTTAATGTAAGGACTTAAATTTTCATATGTAGCTCACATTAAGCTATCGTATGGCTTCAGAAGTAACACAGAATAATTCGCACAATTGGGGAAAAAAAAAATAAAAAATCTCGAATTTGGATCGGCTCTCTCTGACCGATACCCGATCCGAGAAAAATGGCACTATCGGAGCCGATACCCGATATGAATATCGGATCGGCGCATCCCTAATAATATATGATAAGATTCCACTTTGTCATCATTGATTTCTAACAACAACAATATCAACAACAACAACAATAATAATAATAAAAATATTTAACAACAACAACAATAATAATAATAATAATAATAAAAATACCAACAACAACAGCAATAATAATAATAATAAAAATAACAAATAATAAAGTTATTATTGTTGTTAAAATAAATAATAATAACAATAATAATTGTTATAATTCTTGTTATAATAAATAAATAAATAATGACAATAATAATAATTATTATATTATTTTTATTATTATTGTACATATAAAATTTTGATTCATGTAGTCTAATGAATATTTAACACAAAACAAATAAATCAACACTAAAATATCAGTTCTGCATATTATCAGGTAAATATTCTGGCAATGTATTAAAACATCCCACTTTGCTAGAACAGATGTTTAATAATAACAATTATTATTACTATTATAAATAATAACTATTATTTTCATTTTTCTTGCACATATTAAGTGTGATTAATGTAGTCTAATGATTACTACAAATTAAACTATTATTATTATTATTGATGTAGTCTAAAAATTACTTTTAAAAAACACTAAAATATTGGATCAGCTTATTAATTGTCAGGTAAATATTCTGGTAACATAAATATAATGAGTTAAAATAAATAAATATACAAACAAATCAATAAATCTTATTGTTTAACTGATGTAGTCTAATGATTCTTTAAAAAACTCAAACTAAATGACTAAAACAACTCTTAAAAACCACATTAAAACACTTCAAAATGCATTAATTTGCCCAAACAATATAATGGTCTTTCTGGCCTTTAAGTTCATAAAGACACACTGTGGTAAGAACACAGCCAGGCTTTTTTGTTGCTCTTCTGATGGCAATATTATGACTAATGTGCGCAGTCAACAGATGCTCCTCTAGACACAGATATGAGGGCAAAACATCCTCAGTGACCTCAAATGAGGCCACCGAGGCCAATGTGTGTGTCCTGGGGCTTTAACAGGCCAGCAGTGTGTGTGAGAGATGATATACAGACAATCTTCAGCCTCTATACTTCATACATATACACATACTCATTCAGCACGCAGTGTCTTTGTGAATTATGGCAGTGTACAGACGTTATCTACAGGCCTTAAAGGGACAGTAGCAAAAGGCCGGCTCTCACCTTGCAGCCCTCACACGCGTGAACTCCGTAGTGGTATCCTGACGCGCGGTCCGAACACACGCGGCACCCCAGGGTCAGAGAGGTGGAGGTGAACTCGTCCTGTCCCGCCGGGCCACCGTACACACCTGACGACGGGCTGGACGCGGGAGTCAGTGCATCTACACAAGAGGGCAAACAAAACACATGTGCACACTTGAAAATGAGCTGCAACGCAGGAAGAAAGTCAGTGTCCTTCAAAAAAAAAAAAAAAAAAATCATACTTTAAAATGATCTAGAACACCATTGTGACCCTGGACCACAAAACTGAAATTGAGATTTATACATCATCTGAATAAATAGGCTTTCCATTGATGTATGGTTTGTTAATATTTGGTCGAGATACAACTATTTGAAAATCTGGAATCTGAAGGTGCAAAAAAATCTAAATATTGAGAAAATCGCCTTTATACTTGTCCAAATGAAGTTCTTAGCAATGCATATTACTAATCAAAAATTTAAGACTGCTTTTGTGCTCCAGGGTCACATATAGAAAATCATTGTAATGAAATAAAATGAAACACATAATAATATTTATTATATGTTATTTTTATAATAAATAATAATAATAACAATAATAATCATCATTATTATCATTATTATTAAAACATCAGTTCTGCATATTAGTTATCATGAGTATATATCATAATATCATAAATTCATCAAATAATCTAATAATAAATGGAAACACTTCACTTTGTTCTTATTGATTTTCAATATCCTTCCTTGTATTATAAATAAATTAATGAATATAATACTTAATTGATGAAGTCTAATGATTATTAAAAATATCAAGAACACAATTTGAATAACAAGTAATAAAATGAATAGTAATAATTGCTATTATTATAACTATTATTATTACACATAATAATAATAATAATAATAATGTACATATTACATTTTAATTGATGTAGTCTTATGATTCTTTAAAATAAAACAACATTAAAACATCAGTTCTGCATATTAGTTATCATAAATAATATATATAATAAATCCTAAATTCATCATGAATAATCACATATATATAAAAACATCTCACTTGGCTATCACTGATTTTAAATAATGTAGTACATTTAAACATTTAAACTGATGTAGTCTAATGATTATTTAAAACATATCTAGAACTCAATTATAATAATAATAATAATAATAAAAACAAAATTTAGAAATGACAAAATACACTTAAAAAGTCTTAATATATATATTTTTTGTTTTGATTCTCAATTAAACTGGTTTTGTTTAAAGGATGTTTAAATACTTTTTCTATCTATCTATCTATCTATCTATCTATCTATCTATCTATCTATCTATCTATATTCTGACTTTCTATCTATCTATCTATCTATCATCTATGTCTATCTATCTATCTATCTATCTACACATACTGCACATACATAAGCATTTACATGCATGAATACATATGTATATATTTCAAAATATTATATTAAATATGATAAGTTTTGCAGTGTAATACCAGAGAGTCTTTGGTGTGACGTTACTTTGAAGTCTTCTAATAATTACTAAAATATTTAAAAGTCTTTTCTGCCCATTTTTAAGCCTAAGCTACTTTAGAAACCTGTTTACCTCAATTCCAATCCACTGCTCTGCCTTTCTGCTGCCTCAGAAACCGTTCCATGATGTCACTTCCTCATTTCTCAAGCGTTTTAACCTCAACAATCCTTTTCTGTCTTTGATGGCCTGATTTCTTACAATTCAGCACTTTTTTGTGCTTTGTGTGACTGTTACAAGGTCAAACAGCAGGTTGAGATCCTGAAATTAATCATATTTGGGAATATAAAGTTTGTTGACAGAATTGATTCCACTGAGCTTCTAGAAATAAAAACTAGATCAGCATTCCAGAACCACAAGCCACTGATGACCAACCGAAAACCACTAAAACACTTGAGAATCTGCACATACATCAAGGCTGATCAATCTTGTGAATATGCGCTGAATGCAATGAAGAAAAACTTACATTTCCTGCCTGACAGTAAATAAATATGAAATAATTATGCTGCATAAAATTTAAATGCCCACAACATTTTCTATGCAATTACATGAATGCAAAAAAATGTATATTTTATAATACTAACATATTTGTATTATACTACTTGAAAATAATTTTTAATCAGCATTTTTGCTGTTTTCCAGTAAAAAAAAAAAAAAAAAAAAGAAAGAAAATGTAAGCTTCCATGAAAGACGATGCATTTTGAGACAAATAAATCAACAATAAAATAACAGTTCTGCATATTAGTTATCAGATGAATATTTTGGTAAAATATGAAAACATCCCACTTTGCCAATATTGATTTTTAATACTACTACTACTACTACTACTAATAATAATAATAATAATAAGGAAGTATAAATAAATAATACATATTATAATCATATTTAATATTGTACATATTAAGTTTTGATTGATGTAATAATGATTATAAAAAAATAAAATAAAACAACTCTAAAACATCAGTTATACATAAATAAATAAATAAATATTCTGGTAACATATGAAAACATCCCACTTTGCCATCATTTTAATTTTAATAATAATAATAATAATAAAAATATTTATTATTAATTATTTTAATAATATAATAACAGTATTACTTTTATTATTACGTTTTCTTATTATTATTTTTATTATTGCTGTTATTTATTATACAAAAAAAAAATAACAATTATTATTATTATTATTATTATTTGTTATTATTATTAATGTTTTTTATTTTGTTATAATAAATAAATAATAATAGCAGCTATTATTGTTATTATTATTACCAATATTGTATATATTACGTTTTGATTGATGTAGTCTAATCATTATTTAAAAAAAACAAACAAACAAACAAACAAACAAAGAAAAACGTAAACATTAGTTCTGAATATTGAAGAAAAAAAGTAACACTCTCTTTTGGATATTTCTTGCATGCATTTTCTGTTTTTATCCTATTGGCAAATTGTTTACTTTCTTTTTTTTTTCCATAAGCATAAATGTAACAAAATTACAATGCGTACAATATGTCAACAAAGCATTCATATCTGAATTTGCTTACTTGTGTAGAGTATGTTTTTGGCTTTCTACTGAAGCATGGTGTGCTTTTCTGAAAAAGTCTGCATGTATTTGAGTGGCAGCATTTGTGTACCTAACGCAGAGGAGCTCTCCGATCCGGAGCCCAGACCCGACGACTGGTTCTCGGTCACCTCCAAGCTGCTGAGAGCGTCCTCCTCCATGGACTGAGAGATGTCCTGAAACTCTTCCATTCCCCCGATGAAGTCCTGGCACAGAGGACTGTCCAGCACGGAGTGGTCCAGCGGAGACGGGGGGCTGTAGTGCTTCTCCATGTCTACCATGCTGGCGGACAGCGGCAGAGCACCAATCACACATCAGCCTGAAAGCAGACGAGAGGAACCACATGGAGATATTAAACAAACTTCACTGTATGCAAATGTACTGTAACTGTTGCACATGGTTAGACATTGGCAATAGTGATTATTTTATACATTTTTAGTATTTTGGTTATGTGCTTTTAAAATATATATTTTTGAAATATCATTAGTGCTGTCAAACGATTAATCGCGATTAATCGCATCCAAAATAAAGTTTTGTTGACATATGACATATGGATTGTACTGTGTATCGTTTAGCTTCAAATGGCGTCTTTGACGACAGTATTCTATAAAAATTATTTGCACTCCGATCTTGACATCAAAAGGCACAAAAAAATTTTTTTCTTTTATTCCATTGATTTTACCCATTTATCTCCACTTGTTCCCAGTGTTTTTCTGCAACCACTATGCGCGCGCAGCTGCAAGTGACGTAGCTGTGACGTCTACTCTAAATTGATTTATAGTCTG